TGTTGGATGCTGGGTCAGAGGTCTATCAATTTGACAGGGGAAGTTTGAGATGGAACTTTTTAAAATAAAATAAATGAAACAAAAGGAGAGTCAAGAACTCTTGAGTCATTGAATGCAGGAGCAGCAGTTTAGAAAGAAGAATTTAAGGAGAAAAATTGAAGACATGAGAGGGGGTGGCAGTGAAAACCCAGAGCTGTAGTAGTTAGAATCAGTCAGCTAATAGAAGGCTTTATTTGAGAGATTGGTACAAAAGAGCATTGACTTCATTGGCCAAGAGCTCCAGTGACAGCTGTTATCTATTTTGATACTCACATTTGACCTTCATCGCCATCTAGAGGCGGACAGAGATGAAGTTTCTTAAAGTGTTTGTTGCTCTCTGCTGCCACCTGTGGTTTGAGGTGGGAAAGCAAAAGGAGTTTTGCAATCGCTTTGGGATTTTGGTGAGACATAGATGTGTTGATCAGAGTTGCATTCTCATTGGATATCACAGCATTCTGGTGAGTCGATAACTGAGAGGCAGCAAGGCAGTGCGGTGAACAGGGCCCTGGTCCTAGAATCAGGAAGACATGAGCTTGGATCCATCCTCAGACACTTACTGTGTAAGTTTCTCAACTTCTGCCTTATTTTCCTCACACATAAAATGGGGACCATAATATCAGCTATCTTATGGGATTGTTGGGAGTCTTAAATGAGATAATATTTATAAAACTCTTTACATACAGTTCATGGCACATAGTAGGCACTTAATAAGTTCTTGTTCACTTGTTCCCTTGGCGGGTCAGGCTGTATGGCCCAGGGATAGCCAGTCTGAGGAGCTTTGCTATTGGCTAGGTGAAAGAAAAACTACTACTAACATTAAGAGCTAATGCTTTCTAAAGGGTTTTTAAGGATAATTGATAATTGATAGAATGTGTAATAGTAATGTTTGAAGAGAGAAACATTCTCGAGTAGAAAGAAACAAAAATTTAACAGTGAGCAGAGAAGTAGTTTTGTATGGTACAGATGTTCCTGAAAGAATCAATACCATTTAAGCCTGCAGTCCAGAGTTGTGATTTACCCTAAGCACATCAGTCTTCCTCCCTCACATATTATGTGCCATTTCTTTATTAGTGTGTGCCCATTCTTCATCATAGCTATTGAGCGCATTGGTAAGAGTGGAATCCAGGTTTATATGGGAATTCTGATGTATTTTATTATTTATAAATTTGCTTTAATTTATTAGTATCTATAATATTATTTCAATTGCCTTATTGTTAAATAAATGCTTATGTATTAGATACAGAAGTGGCATTATGTGACTAATTCTGTAGACATTAAAGTCATCAGGGCTCAAGAGCAAGAGTAATGAGAGGATGATGTCCATTTCTTCTTAACAAGGTTATCACTGGGACCCTGAGGAAGTGTGAATGTCACTGTGAAGTGGTGGCCTATCTCTGAGAACTTAGATCTGCCAGCATGAGAGCAGGTTGGAGCAATCAAGGCAAAGAATAAAAACAGGGTACTGTTGAGATGCCTGGGGGACAGCTATGAATCCACACAGTGTGGGTTGTGGCCGGACCCCACCTATAACACATGCATAAGGTGTTACCTTTAGGGGTGCTTGACAATGCCCCTAGAAACATTTTCTCTGCTACCTGATACATGAAAACATGGTTTCTAGATTGTAGCCTGCTAGGATGAAGTCATCCAGGTGACTAGAGTTCTTTTTAGTGAGAGCTCAAGAAGCATAGCACTTCCCAACCCATCATAATAGTGGAAAGAACTTTCACTCTCTATCTGGAAATTAGACTCAATTAGACAGGCTTGTATTAGGTTCCCTGGCTACATTTCCCTTTACTGTTTGCTTCCTGTTTTAGCATCAAACTTATAATCCTTAAAAGGCGTGGAGCAATAGCAAAGGTGGAAGCTGACATCTTTCCCTTCTCAGACAATAGAACAAGGGCTGGGGGAAAGTCCCTGAACAATAGCAGAAGTGGGCTACTCCAAGGGAAGTGCTGGCATTGGAGAGAGGCTACCAGAAGAAGGTGAGAGAAGGAAATAATCATTTATAAGTGCCTACTATATGCCAAACTGGAGCTACATCCTTTACAATATTATCACATTTGATCCTCACAACAACACCATGAAGTAGATGTTGATATTATCATGCTCGTTTTACAGATGAGGCAACTGAGGGAGACAGAGAGTTAAATGACTTACCCAGGGTCACACAGCTACAAAATCCTAAGGCCAGTTTTGAACTCAGGTCTTGATGACTCCAGGTCCATTGTTCTATCCACTGTTCCAGTTAGCTGCCTCTATAGCTGAGGAATGATGAGAAGAAAAATGTATTCATTATGTTTCCCACCATGTTCCTCACTCTATGGACAGGTTGTTATATTCTGCCATTAGGAAGCAAGCAAGGCAGAGGCTGTTTTGCTTTTATCTAAGAATTTATAGAACCTAGGACACTACCTTACCCATAGTAGATGTTTAATAACTGTTCGATGATTTCAAGTGAATTAAATTTATACTTGTATATGCAAAGCAACTGTTTGATTAAATAGCACCAGTGGAGATGAAATGTAACATGGGTAATAATGAGCCTTACAAAAACTATTTTCTACTCCCCCCCAAAAAAAAAGTTTGATTAGCCCCATAGTTGACCATACTAGTAGTAATAACTGAAGATACCAAAACCTGTCAATAACACACAAGTATTCTATGCTCATCCCTGTTTTGGTATAGGAATAAGTGCCTCTGTGATATCTAATTCATGTTGTACATTGTGTACCTCTTTTACTAACTTCTTTTGGGTAAATAAAATCCAAGAATAGAATCTGAAGTAGAAATGTCCCTGGGCAACCCAAGTTGGGGTTTTAATGAGACAGTAATTTAGGAAAATGAGGAACCGATTTCTCCTACTAAGAAGTCAGGCTTCCCCAGAGCTAAAGTCAGGCAAACCTCAATGGCTTGATAAAGACAGCAAGTGACATAGGTCACCATCTCTATGGTCCCAGCTTAGTCATGGCTCTAAGCTTTACATTACATTACTGCTGACTAATTGATCATGGACTGTCCCTGATTCCACAGACTAAAAATGATGAGGGGCATACATTACATTTCAAATCATATTTAATAGGCTTCCTTGTGATAACTGATAAAAATTAGTTTATCCAATTTTTTTGGGAAAAAAGATGCCTACCACGAAGACATGAATTCCCACCTTCTTCCTTTCCCAGTTCTTAGAGACGCTAGTGACTTCCCCTCTGAGCTTGCCTTCCAAAAACTCTTTAGATATCCTGTATATATGCCTGTTAATTTGTTTTCTCCCCACATTAGCATGTGAGATCCTTTGCATGTAGCCACTGGTTTTGTCTTTCTTTGCATCCCCAGACCTTAGCACAGTTTGACACATAATAAGCTCTTAATAAATGCTTATTAACTGACAGACTGGAGACTGAATAAAGACTGGTTTAAACTAAAGAGTTCTCTTTTCTCCTGTGTACACCCCCAGAGCATTCAGGAGATGTGATAATTTAAAGAAAAGAAGGATCCCAAGAGGGCAATGTATTTTTTCCCTTCAGGGACTCATAGGGGACACTTAAATTTTTTTTCAGAAAGTGTGGGAGTGAGGATTACCTGAAGTCCAAGAAACAGACAACAGACACTGCCTGACATCATAGAAGCTTTTCTATGCTGCTTGTTGAATATGTGACAAAATGCAATAGAACCCCAATCTGAGGGCTCCTCATAGTTACCAATGCTCACTTTTGCTGTTGCCAATCATATGTAAAGGGAGATCGGAGGGAAGGGGAGAATCTCATTTTTAAGCTATAGCTTCAAGGGCATAATCTTGTCTCTAATGTAACTATAGCAATCTTCCTTCAAAGGGCATCATACAATGATATCACACTCAGGAAGCTGCTCTAAGCACAAGAAACTACTTTATTAGATAGTATGAGGATGTTCCAATTACAAACTATATATAAGTTTTCAAATCATATGTAATCAATGTCGTTTCAGAGTACAGCTTTGTCCTTAGGAGATAAGTGTGCCTTAGAAACTCACTTAGTTCTGAATTATTTTAGTCTGCTTCCCATACAAATAAGCCTTTCCCTTCACTACTCATCTGACCTCTTCCTTAAAATTTAGTTCTAGTGGTTTGGTTTGGTTTGGTTTGGTTTTGAGTCAATCTGTCCCATTATTCCCTATGTCGTTTCTTTTACCATTGTTCACATATCTCCCCTGTTTCCAAGTCATACCCAGAATGTATCCTCTTTCACCTCCAGATCTCCCTAGGATTCAAGCATTGCAATATTCTGGGGGAAATTATTGCCCTTTAATAGGTAATAGACATATCAATATATCCAGTATCTACATACTCATCTAGGGTGCATTGTGTTCTGCTCTGGAAAGTAACACCAACTGAGTACTATCCCTATTCTCATCTCCAGCAACCCTCCGCTCACTGGTTAGCTCAAACTACTTAACAACCTGTGGGGTAGAGCAGCAAATGAAATATTTCTGAGTGTCAGATGTTGGGAGAATGAGATTCCTTACATAGTCTTTTCTGGCCCACTAAGAGGAGAGGGGTTTCTTGCCCAGAGCTCGGCGCAGGGCATCTTTGACTTCCTTGTTCCTTAAAGTATACACAACAGGGTTCAGCAATGGAGTAAGGACTGTGTAAGCTGCTGAAATAAGCCTGTCTTGCTCAAGAGAGCTGTGGGACTTGGGTTTGAGGTAGATGATGGAAGCACAGCCATAGTGGATGATGACCACGGTAAGGTGAGAGCCACATGTGGCAAAGGCCTTCCACCTCCCCTCAGATGAAGTGATCTTAAGGATAGTAGAGATGTTGAGGACATAAGAAATGAAGATCAAGCCCATAGGCAACACAAGGACACACACACTAACAATAAAATTAATTATCTCATTGATAGTGGTATCAACACAGGCGAGTTTCAGGAGGGGCCGGACATCACAGAAAAAGTGGGAGATAACAGTGGCATCACAGAAAGGGAGGCCAAACACAGAAGTTACCTGAACAATGGCCATTCCAAGGCCAATTCCCCATGACCACATGCCAACTGAATACATGCGTGTTTTCCCATGATGACTGTATACCTCAAAGGCTTACAGATAGCTACGTAGCGATCATAACCCATGACTGTGAGCAAGAAGCAGTTGTTGATGCCAAAGGTGAGATAGAAAAAGAGTTGTGTAGCACATTCTGGGATGGCAATGGGTTGGTGTGGTCTGAGGAGGCCTAACAATGTACGGGGAATTATGGCCAAGGTATAACATGTCTCAGAGATTGACAACACACTCAGGAAGAAATACATAGGTATGTGAAGGTGATGGTTAAGGCGAATAATGGTTACGATTATGCCGTTACCAGCCAGAGTCAGCAAATATAGGCCCAGAAAGACCACAAAAAGAATGAGCCGGTGCTGCCACTTGAAGCTGGAAAACCCCTCAAAGGTGAATTCACTTATAGCTGTGAAATTTGGTCTTGACATTGAGGAAAATCCTGAAAAACTGAAAGAGACGAGGAGAGGAAAAGTTAGCAAGGGTGAAGATATGTGTAGTGAAAATATGTTCTCTATATGATCCTTTAATGTCTCTTAAACTGAATGACTTTCTAATATCTCCTAAACTTTATCTCACCATTTAGAGCCTAACTTGTGACTTTGCTTCATAACACCGCTTTCATTCGCTGTGGAAATTTACTCACTGCCCTCCCTTTCCTTTAACCTCACTGGATTTTGTCCTCTGATAGGCTACCATTCTTGGTCTAGAGCCAGAACTGTTAAGGTGACCCAAAATCTGGGACACTGGATGGCCCTTCATCACCCTGCATCTAGAGATAGTGGCTCAGATCCTCAGGGAAAAAATGTTCTCACTTTGAGAACAAGGAGAAACATCTACCTCATCACTTTGAGGCAAAGAGGAACACCCCACTCTCATCCAGCTGTCCTGTGACTAATGAAAAACCCAAGAGACAGAATTTCTGGTAATTAATAATATTTTTATTAATTAGGCTAGGTAATATCAATAAATTGATGGCCAGTGCTCTCTCTCAGTAATCAAAGACCCCTAACGGAGACACTAAATGCCTCATTTTTTTTTTGAAAGGGAATGCCCATGATAGGAGAAATCAACCCTGGTTGGTGGACATTTAATGAGGAGCTAGGCTAGGAGTCTTCAGCTCTTCCTATTGAGAACATGGTTTGATCATGAGACTCCAGCAATCTGGACAGAAGAATCTATCTCCACCCAGACCACTCCAGTTGGTTTTCTCTTTTGTGAACTGGGTCACTCTAAATTCTAATGGAGGGTTCCAAGAAGCTCTCCTTGGGGCAAGAACCTATGCAGACTGGATTCTGTTTACACTTCCCCCACCCTGGTTGGGTGGAGTCTGGCCCAAGATTGAAGAGCATCTCATCAATTAGTCATGTCCTTCAGAGACTGACTGACTGACCTACAGGGGCTGGGCCCTAAATGAGGAAATACCCCTGAATCCTAGTTTAATGAGCAGTTATTAATACAGTAGTAAAACAATAATTTCTCTCAAGCCAAAAGAGAGAACATCCCAGAAAACCCTAGTCAGTAGAGCAATCACTAACAGTCCCTGGGCTTCTTGATTGTTTCTCACTCTTGGCTGATGCCCCAAGATCTCCCTCCTAGTGCCTCAAGGATCACTTAAACTCCTGTATAGAATTCTCCTGGGCTCTACCCTTTCTTCCTCTCCCCTGTCCCCAGTCAGGTTTCCCTGCTGCTGCTGCTGCTGCATTGACTGCCTCTGGAACTATTGTTGGTGCTAGAAAGTGTCAATGCACCACTAATACTGACCTGTAGTAAGTGATGGAGTCATCCCTTCTTGGCAGAATATAAATGAACCAGAGGGATGAGCAACAGGTCAAACCAGGGCCAGAGGTCAATTAGTCAATTAGATGTTGACAAGAACTGTGACTAAATGCCGTGACCAGTATACCTCCGTGGACAGAAAAGACAGGCAGCCTCAATGCTACCTCCCATCCTTCTTGGAGAGAGCCAGAGTCAGGCCGCTGGACCATGTGCTCCAGAGTCAAGGACTCTCATACCTTCTCTCACTGGCTCACGAATCATTGTTCAGAACAGAGATGATTCAGCCAGGTAGCAGCACCAATATCCTAATGAGCATGACACAGGACTTGAAAACAAAATCTGTGTGCGTATATCAGGGGAGGAAGCGGGGGGTGGTCTCTCAGTCTTATTCTTCAGAAATAGGAAACTTTCCCCTTTAGACCTATGAATGCTGACAAGGATATGACTAACACTTCTGGCTGTCCCTTTGGCAACAGGACTTCTCATCCTCACTAAAGCAGGGGTCTGAACCATGTGCCTCAGCAGCAAAGAAATACTCCCTCCCGCTGTCAGGACAAGGCCAGTGTCCCCCAGGAAATGTAAGTGACTACATCAGTACTGCTGAAACTAGCAAAAGACCATGAAATGAAAGTCCAGGGAATTATTAAAATTGGAATAGGGAGGGTATGAAAATTAGAACTCTAACAGGTACCCAATGACCAGGGTTTTATACCAGGGAGAAGAAATTGCTCCAGGGCAAAAAATTCAAAGGGCTTTTATTGTACAAGTTATTATACTGTTATCAAGAGCAAGAAAGGGGCAGAGTCTATGGGTGGGGTGCCTGGGGTGAAAGATGAGACTGTGGCAGAACAGTTAGATCACTTGGGAAAGCAGCATGGTTGTCTCCCTGGGTTCCTCAGGCAAAATCCAAAGCTGATGGGATCTAAGCTATCTCTCAGCCCTTAGGTGAGAGAGAGGTCCAAACTTGTTCCCAGATATTCATCCCTTCAGACATCAGGTGGCTGTGCAGTCGTAGCTTTCCAGAGCATCTATCATTCTGGAAAGAGGGTAAAGTCCAGGGGTCAGAGGCAGGCTGAGAGCTACCCCACATTCCCTGACCACTGCTAAGGAACAGAGGGAGTTCCCTTGAGGAGGGGAAGGGGAGGAAATATCTAAACTGTGGCTTCCTAGAATACTTTTGCCTCCAAATCTAAAGAATATTTTTCCCCTCAGGTTTAGCCTGTTCTGTCTTTTCAACCTTACAGAGTGCCAGTGGGTTAGACAAAAGGTTCAAGCAACCCAGAGATAACTACTTCCTAAAATCAAATGGTGGGATTGGGTGACACTTTTAGATACATCAAGTCAAAATTAATATTTTCTAGAGTATTTGTCTGTAATGAAATGGTAAATAAGGATATATCATGACGATGCATTGGAAAACAAGTAAGATTTGGATTCAGTGGCCCAAGATTTGGATTTTGGTTCTGCCTTTTACTGTCTATTTGGTCTTGAATGTTTAAATTCTCTAAGCCTTAGTTACTTCACTTTAGGGGAAAAGGGCCCAGTGAAAGAATATGGAGATATATTCTCTCACAAGACAGGCACTTCAGGCAGCTTAGAAATGCTTTCCCAGCCTAAAGTGTTCTCTGATTCTCTTAGCATGTATTCTGGAAAAAGAAAATGGGTTAGGGAGTAATTCAGACAGGGCAAGACAAGAAGGGGAACCATGGCCTCCTCAGATGTCTGTTGTACTTATCCCCAGGTCTTTTCATTTCCTTGAAGTTTTTCTCTCTTGAAGTGATAATATTTTCCCAGGATTATTGGGAAAGAGGAGTGTTTGGACCCAGAGTGTGCCTGAAAAGATCTTGGTGCTTCCTCCCTCCTTCCATGTCCTGTTAAAAGTGGATTTTTTTAAGAGCCAAGAGTATTCTGTTAAGAGCTGACACAACTAATTCCATTTTTTATATTCTGTTTTAATAACCTGGTTGATAGGAGAACTAATTCTGAATTCCTGTTCTGTTCTGCTTCCATTTTCTTCTCTCTAAAGTGGAGGGGTTTGTCTCTAAGGTTCCTTCCAGTACTGACATTTCAAGTGTACAAGATTTGAGTTTTATTTGACTCTACCTCAGATTACTCTGAATTTCAGTAAGAGTTGAACAAGAATTTCCCTTCACTAAGCAAACCAGGCCAATTTCCACAATGTCAGGCAATATGTTTCTGTTTCTTGGGTTTCACAGTTCTCACTCTTATTTTCTGAAATAGTACAGACATGCAAGTCCTTGGGTCCTTCTGAAATATTATATAAGTGCAGAGAAAAGTTCATTGCCCTCTGTACTCTTTTCTTTTCCTTTGAATGGTCCCCTCTCATCCTTGGTGGGGGGGACTGCACAGAAAAGAAGGGGAAGGGGAATCTGTCAATGTAGTAAGGCTTTCTTATGTTTCTACAAAGATTCACCTACTTCTTATGTCATACAATTTTCATATACTTATGATAAACCAATTGGTGTCTCAGTCACCTTGCCATAGTCATTTCCCTTTCTAGGGTCTCAGACTCTCCCTCTATAATCAAAGCAAGGAGTTGGAGTAGATGATCATGCAGGTGACTTTCATCTCTACTGTGATACTCTGAAGGTTTACACAGGGTTTCTCTTCAAGCTCTCTTTCGGCCTCATTCCCAAAGCATCTATTTATTTGCTATAAAATTTACCAGTCTGGTTTTATTCTTTCTATATATACCCAGCATTTAGCACAGTGCCTGACATATAATAAGTGCTTATTTATGCTTGTTGACTGACAGACTGACAATCTCCCCACAATTCCCATTACTCAGGCTACTTGGATGCCAAGGGTGAAGAAACAACCAATGCTTTTGAAAACTAGGCCCAAAGTCAGTTTGAATATAGGAGGCTACTTAACCTCCCCAACTTTGTCATATCCTAGGGTTTCTCTCTCCCCATGGGCTGGGATTTTCTCTCTATCCAATTCAGACATCTGTTAATGCCAATTGCCCAAAGTGTCTGGTTTGTGGTATTTGCTTTGGGTGAAAACATCCCCAGTTATGACTCTGGTGAGAGTACAGACAGTAAAGAAGGATTGCTGACTAGGTGAGATAGTTGTCTGGGTGGCTGCTCTACTCACACTGTACAAATCTCAAATGGGGTGGGATCTAGAAAGCAGCTTGGAGAATATACTACTCGAGAAGTCTTTGCATGGTGCTCAACCCTGCTGTGAGCTCCTGAGTGGCCTATTTCCTACACTCAAGAAACTCAAGAACATGTCTTGACCTATTCAATTAATTGTCTCTCCTCAGTGGAAATAGAGCCCAAACCAAGGGGAAAGAGAAGTGAGAAGAATAACGAATTTCCTTCTCCTCCCTCCCCCATGTGAAAACAATATGCCTTACCCAATGAGAAGGGGGACATTAGGTTCATTCAATCCCATAATGGTCAGGCATTTGCTGTCGTATTTTGAATCTTTATGCCCCAAAGAGTATTCTAGGAACGTGGAATTGTCCCCTCTTTTATATGCAAAGATGTAAATTGCCTAAATCTTCCCTTTCTCAAGCCTAGTCAGTGTGAATCCATCTTGGGAAAGCTCTGATTTATCATCAGAGATATTTAAAAGTTTGATATGAAACATTTCTGCTCTGGGATGGGGCTAAGACACACCTCAT